CAACACACACACACATACACAAATACATCCTGTTCAACACACATCGCCACACCCTGATCAACACACACATACATACACATCAACACCCACCCATACTCTAATCAACACACACACCCTGGTCAACATACACATACACACAAAGACACACCCTAAAACACACAAACACGGCCACATCCCGATCAACACACACACACACACACACACAGCCTCACCCGCATCCACTCACACACAACACACACCTTGACCAAACACACACAGGCACATCCTGATAAACACACACAGCCCACCTTGATCAATAAACACACAGCCCACCCAAACCAACACACACAAATACACACACATAAAGGCTTTTAAAGAAACTTTAGTTCGACTAAATGGTATGTAAGAAATTATGACAACTGATCCGAAGCGTGATCGATAAATCAATCGATTTATCTTTAAACTTACAAACTTTTAGACATAAAAAATCTGAATACCTCCCGACTGACTAACGTTAAACAGCGTACACACAAAAAGCAAGTCTTTTATGACTTGTGTGTCTTGAAGTACACACTTTTGTACACATATTATGTCATACAATGTGGTAACATGATCACATGACCTCATTCTTTTCCCCATTCAGCGATGAAGAAATTCATTGAGGCGTGTCTCAAAGGCAGTGGTTTAGCCTATGATATATGTATTACATTTTTTTTTAAAGTTTGGCTTTAGGAACAAGACAAGCTTTGTTAAACTTTTAATAGACAAATTATCCGGGTTAAGAACATTAAATTTAAACAATTTTTTACTACTTTCATTTTATTCAGCGAACATATGTTGTGTGTTAATATCAGCGAATTATGCAAATTGAATATTTCATTTTTGAGCTATTGGGTCTACTGTATATATATACATATATATATATATATATTTATATATATATATATATATATATATATATATATATATATATATATATATATATATATATATATATATATATATATATATATATATATATATATATACGTTGTTCAAGGTGCTCTGTATTCTCCGGGGGCCTTGTCACATGGGCAAGTTTCGCCAAGAACAATTTTTAGTCTTACGCATGTACCATTTTTCAAGCTTTTTCTGTCCAAAGGACCATTGAATAAAAGGGCATCTGATTTATTCATATTTTCAAGAATTACGGAAGAAAACAATTTGTTAAACTCTCGAAATCGGAAGAAGGTTGGATTAAAACCTTGTCAAGCTATGGTCAAAAACCTCTCATCTTCAAAAGTTTGCCCTAATTAGGCCCTAATTTCTCACAAAGATGCGCGCACAAACACACAGACACACATACATACACTTAGACACACACCCACATGTAAACACACACGCCCACTCACACGGTCACTTACGAACACATACACTCACACGCACTTACAGACACACCAACAGAATCACATACACACATACTTACACAGACATATACCCCCCACACACCTACACTCACACACACAGCTCCTCACACACATACACACACATATACCCCCCACACACCTACACTCACACACACAGCTCCACACACATACTCACTTGGCACTACGCCGGCCGTATTTCTTGATAGCAACAGCGAAGTGTAGGGGGTTGTCGGCACAGCGGTACAGGTTCTGGTCGTTCATGGGCACCAGGTCCACGTCGTGGAATATGTAGCAGTCGAAGGTCCCGAGTTTCTGAGACTCCAGGAACCCCACGTTCTGTAGGAGGGCTCGGTTGAACGGGTGGACGGGGTCCTGGGTTCATATATTTTTTATTTTAAAAGTTCCTGAATTGTTATATAGAGATATATACATAATAAGCATATACATAGCCCCCTCCCCCCTTCAGCCCAAAAAAAGATAAATCTTTATTCCAGTGTACTATACCAAATGTTTATTCTTCTGTTTCGCTCTTAATTGTTATCTTTGAAATAATTTCCTCCAAAACAATTAAGTTTTAAGTTTCAACTTGGTATGCGCCATATAGGCCGTTGACTCAACCAGCTTTACCGCCCCCCCCCCCCCTCATTACATTTCGTCACACAAAATTCGACACCCCTCCGTCCTAGGAGTGTGACGTCGTTTATATCTTTTTCCCCCTCACAATCATTTTACCTGCTCGATCACAAAGAAGGTCGCATCCGCTTGTTGTTTCTTTAAAAGGGGGATAAGCACGTTCAACAAGGTGTGCAAATGAGAGTAACGGTCCCTGAAATACATCGTAAATTTTACTACCTTTTAAGAACCAATATCAACATTTAAGTCTTGAGTTTTCAATCGTGTTCAGCTATCTCCCCACCCCTTCTCACTAACTTTCTTTACACACGTCCTTTTGAAATGACTAAACTGAGAGATAGTATTGGGAATTTCAAAAAGACTGAATCAACACGATTTGAATTTAAACCACCAATATCTGTACAAAGGTTCTTGCAGGCACCTCTTGGGAGGGGAAAGGGGGCAGCTTTACCCCACCCTGTAGCACGCCCACACACACTACCCTTCTCGGAAAGTCCAAGTACCTCCCCCCCCCCTCATCTACCGAGAAAAATGTCTGAAAGATACCCCAGATTCATACTCCACCCCTGCTTATAGTGCTGGTAAGTAGGTCACCAACCAGTTCTGTCTCATGCAGGTTTTATTGAGCCGTAGAACTGGTTGGTGACCTACTTACCAGCCCTATAAGACTTAACATCTTTAACCGCCTGCTACCTGTAGGCAATGACAACGGCCAGTCTCTCCCTGGCTATACTACCTGTAGGCAATGACAACGGCCAGTCTCTCCCTGGCTGTACAGTTGGACGGCTGCAGACGACCGGACTTGACTTCCGGGTACAGGGCTTGAAGCACTTCCGGTGTCGTCGGTTCACAGGCACACGTATAGTTTCCGACTGGAATAGAAGTACATCTCTCGACAGTGAAAAAATGTATCAGTAAGTGAGGTCAGGTGCGCTGGGTACCCAAAGGCTGTCTGTCTCAATGGGGATTCGTCCCCTGAAGCATTCAGTGCTCAGGGACATTCCTTGCCCAGGGACATTCAGTGCCCAGGGACATTCCTTGCCCAGGGACATTCCTTGCCCAGGGACATTCCTTGCCCAGGGACATTCAGTGCCCAGAAGCATTCAGTGCCCAGAAGCATTCAGTGCCCAGAAGCATTCAGTCCCCAGGGACATTCAGTTCCCAGGGACATTCAGTGCCCAGAAGCATTCAGTGCCCAGAAGCATTCAGTGCCCAGAAGCATTCAGTGCACAGAAGCATTCAGTGCCCAGGGACATTCAGTTCCCAGGGACATTCAGTGCCCAGAAGCATTCAGTGCCCAGAAGCATTCAGTGCCCAGAAGCATTCAGTGCACAGAAGCATTCAGTGCCCAGAAGCATTCAGTGCCCAGAAGCATTCAGTGCACTGAAGCATTCAGTGCTAGGGGCATTCACTGCCCAGGGACATTCAGTGCCCTGTAACATTCAGTTCCAATGCCTTCAATCCTCAGAGGCCAAGTTTTAAAATATAATTATACATATAGAATGTTTAAAAAACTATAATAATATTAAGAGCTCAATATTAACATTGAGAAAAAAACATTGTCAGAAGTGGGATTTGAACCCACGCCCACAAGAGTGGACTGCGACCTGAACGCAGCGCCTTAGACCACTCGGCCATCCTGACCTACACTCCTTGTTTTATAGAGCCTTATATATACCTAAATAAGGTATACACAATTATTAATAAGCACATGCAGGGGTGGATTCGGCCGCCATTTAAAAAAAAAATCAAGATTGTTCTACAATAATGATACTGTGCAGCCCTATTATTACTTTGAAACTGGATAACGATATATTTATAGACCTTGTAGAACAGCCCAAAGCTTAAAGCAGGGGTCTCCAAACTTTTCAGTCAGAGGGCCGCATTAACTATCAAATTTCAGTTCGGGGGCCACTTTCTTCCAGGCATGTCTTTGATTTTTCTGAGCAAGCTCCTCAGCCATCACCAACCAAACGTTTTTTTCGGTGGACAAAAAGATCTCCGCGGGCCGGACGAGAGGACCTCGCGGGCCGCATCCGGCCCGCGGGCCGTAGTTTGGAGACCCCTGGCTTAAAGCATCAAAATAAAATATGTTATTGAACAGTGACTAGTAAAAGGCACCTTTAACATTCCAAATGGTGAGGGCGCTTTTAGGCAACGTGAATAACTATAACTTATAAAATATATATATATAACTATATATAACTATATATATATATATATATATATATATATATATATATATATATATATATATATATATATATATATATATATATATATATATAAACATAAACAACTTTTTTCCCTAACATAAGCAACTTAGCACAATAAACACCACTCGCTTTTTTCAGAAAAAAAAAGTTATTATTAAACAACAAACAGAGATGAAGTAGATTTCATTTATCAGACGAAGTTTGATGTTTTAGTGAATGGGTGTATAGTAAACATTGTATTAGAGTCACATTTTACCTTGAGCCAGGTACTCAATTATTTAAACAAAAAATCCAAAGGTATGTTAGTTATCCTTTCAGACCCGCAACATATGAGGTAGAGTTCATTTATCAGAAGAAGTAAATTTTCATATTTTAGTGTATGGGTATGTAGTAAACATCAGTGGCGTAGCCAGGATCGTCTCAAGGGGGGGGGGGGGGTTCCAATTTTTACCCGGGGACAAACTTTCGATTTGCACCCCTCACAAACTTTCGATTTGCACCCCTCACAAACTTTCGATTTGCACCCCCCTTCAAACTTTCGATTTGCACCACCACCCCCCCTCAAACTTTCGATTTGCACCCCCCCTCAAACTTTCGATTTACACCCCCCCTCATACTTTTTCTATATACCGAGGGGTCTATGGGGGGGGGGGGGGTTATGACCCCCCAGCCCCCCCCCTGCCTACGCCACTGGTAAACATTGTATTAGATACACCTCTTCTACATTGAGCCATCCGACCTAGCGACGCCACTGCTTTTGCATATCGAATTGAATGATTTTTAACACAGAAGTCTACGATGAGCTTTAATGCATTGAATTTTATGATGATTTTTAGCACATACAATTTTGTAACTTTTAACACATGTAATTTTATGATGATCGTTAGAAAAGTGAATTTTATGATGATGATTTTTAACACAGAATTTCATGATCTTAAACACATTGAATTATATGATGATCATTATGATAGCGAATTTTATGATGATTTTAACATTTTAACACATTGTATTCTTTTATGTATGATCATAGCAGAAGAAGTTAAGGAATGTTTTTTATTTACATTTAAGATGATCACAAAAAAGATAAGGAATACAATATTAAGTTTATGATGATCTTTATTTCAGTGAAGTTATGATGATCACCAGGGCTTCAGGTTTGGCAATATTCATGATCAAATATAGATAGCGTGATCAATGTTATAGACTGTTAATTATGCGAGTCTCTTCGGAACCAATGACAGTTGACACCAGATTTCTGCAACTAGCGGGGTGAAACCATTGAATTACTAGACAATCACTTCAGGCTGATTCAACTTGCTAGTTATTTCCCTTTAGCAGGATTTGTTTTTGCGTTTTATTACTTCCCTTTAGAAGTAGAATTTTTTTTTTATTCTCTCTTTTTCTCAATCTCTCTTGAAGAGGTCTTCGCTTCATGAAGGAACGTTCCTATGTCTCCGTGGTTTTAAGACTCCCAGAGTAAAATCAGGCGCCGTCTGGAAGAAAAAATAAACAGCCGTGTAAATTTCACATACCTTTGAATATGCTGTGTATCACTTATTTCTCTGATATAGAAGATACAGTGTTATTTTTCTATAATTTAAGTAAGACAATTTGACATGAGCTTCAGGTTAAATTGGATCGGAATGCGTGCGTTTGTGTGTGCGTATGTTGGCGTGTGCTAGTCATATTTGCGTGACCTCGGTCATACCTCATTGACCTCGGTGTGGGTCAAAACTGTATGACCTTCATTCCTGCATGACCTTAGTGTGACCTTTATACCTACATGATCTCAGCGTAGGCTTTTCATACCTACATAAGCTCAGTGTGACCTTTAAACCTACATAAACTCAATGTATGACCTTCATACCTGCATTACCAATGTGACCTTCATACCTACATGACCTCAGTGTCACGTTCATACCTAATAACCTCAATGTATGACCTTCTTACCTACATAACCACAGTGTATGACCTTTATACCCGCATGACCTAGGTGTGTGACCTTCGTACCTACATGACCTCAGTGTGACCTTCATACCTACATAGCCTCAGTGTGACCTTAGTAACTAAATAACCTCAGTATTCGACCTTCATACCTGCACTACTAATGTGACCTTCATACCTTCATGAGCTCAGAGTATGACCTTCATACCTACGTAGCCTCAGTGTGACCTTCATACATACATATCCTCAGATTGACCTTCATACCTACATAACAACAGTATGTGACCTTCATACCTGCATGACCTCGGTCAAGTTGAAGGACACCTGTACCCAGACATAGAGCGGCATGTGCTTGATGAACGTGACGTTGTACCTGGTGGTGCTGAGACCCTCCATGTCCTGCCGGTCTGTGGCAGTCACCAGCAGAAGTTTCCTGAAAATAGCGGCAAACGTTCAAGGTCACTGACCTGGTCAGAAGTAGCAACTAGATTTTCCACAAAAAAACTAATCTTCATTTAAAAATGTTTTTCTATGGGGTCATCCATAAATGACGTCACACTTGTTTTGGACGATTTTTACCTCCCCCCTCCCCTCCGTCACACGTCGTCACAAAAAGCCAGACCTCCCCCCCCCTTAAATTGACGTCACACATCAGCCTACAACCCCCCCCCCCCCTCAAAATTGAAGTTGAAATTTTTTTTAAACATCGATATTTTTCAAAAATACTGTCTGAACTCTGTCAAAATAGAGTATTTTAATCAATTCCTATTATAATTTATTAAAACAGTTTTCTAAAACGTGAAATAACGTTTAAAATTCGTTATCTAACTTTGCTTTTTTATAATGCAAAAGTGTGACGTCGCACCATCTGAATCCCCCCCCCCCCTCCCCCTCATCACACACCGTCACAAAATTACGGACTCCCCCCTTCCCCCCTACGAGTGTGACGTCATTTATGGACGACCTCTATGTATTGACTGTATTAAAAGCTTGATATTGATAGTATCTTTAGTTTTGAAATTTTGCTTCCGCCTTAGCACTATGCCATACGGATGCAGATACAAAAGTTTTTAAAAAAATGTGCTTTATACTACACTATGCATACATTTGTTATTGCGAAGCCGTTTGCCTTCATCAGCTGACCCAATCTCACACGTATACCGTTCACCACCCTTATACAATTCACTCCACCCAAATTTCTGCCGAGCACCGTGTCCCGCATCCCAACCCGGATCCGATCCCCACTCTCGACTTGAACCCCGTCCTATACCCACACCTCACCCCCGGACACAAATCTCCCCCCAGTACGCCCCATATCCCCGCACAGGACCCACATCCCACCCTCTAGACCTACACCTCACCCCGAACCTACACCTCACCCCACTCACATCCAACCATAGGCCCACACCTCACCCCAGACCTAATTCCCTCCGTGGACCCATATTCATCCTTGGAACCCCACCTCACCCAAAGATCCACATCCTTCCCTGAACCCACACCATACCTTTGGATCTACATCCTTCCTTGAACCCACACCATACCTTTGGATCTACATCCTTCCCTGAACCCACACTCTACCTTTGGATCCACATCCTACCCTGAACCCACACCATACCTTCGAATCTACATCCTACCCTGAACCCACACCATACCTTCGGATCTACATCCTACCCTGAACCCACACCATACCTTCGAATCTACATCCTACCCTGAACCCACACCATACCTTCGGATCTACATCCTACCCTGAACCCACACCATACCTTTGGATCTACATCCTACCCTGAACCCACACCATACCTTTGGATCTACATCCTACCCTGAACCAACACCATACCTTCAGATCTACACGCTACCCCTCTATCATAACACACAACATATCCCCAAATGTCACCCTAACACCCACACTCGATCCCAGGTGATACACCGCTACCCACATCCACAACCCCTACTAAACAACACATGGGATGGCGTGTCTAGCCGTGGAGTGCTAGACTGCTAACTCGATAATTTCGAGTTCGAATCCTGGTTCAAGTTAGTGGAACCTCCATGAGTCCACCCACCTCTGATAGGTACCTAACTCACGTTAGGGAAAGTAAAGGCGGCCGAGCATGGTGCTGACCACATTATCCTTTTATATGCCAAAGCCAAGAAACATTTGAACTCCACTTCATCAGTCCAATGGATCGTTAGGTCTATAGATTATCTTTACTTACCTTTACCAAAACACACCCAACACCTGACTCACCTGTCCACGTTACCCCTAGCCCTGTCGTTCCTCTCGTGTCTCAACATGCTGTAGTGGTGAACCCTCTCATCCAGCCTTGGTCTCTTGTAGTTCTTGTACTCCACCCTATACAAATAGACGAACGATTTTATTTCTAGCTTCTCCACGTATACCCAATACTTACATAATCTAGACTTATACCCAATACTAACATGGTATTTTTCGTTACAGTGTACGGTCAGAGAAGACCCCCCCCCTCTTATGCACAATAAATACTTTTATCAGTGTCCGGAAAATTTAGTCAGCCCCCACCCCCGAAAATATCAAGTGACCCCAGGAGAAAAAAGTCTCAACGAAACGCCGGCAGTGGTTCTTAACCTTACTGTTTGTACCGAACCCCTTCAGTTTATTATGCGCATTTCCTGAAAGCTTCTTAGTAGTTCTATTGGCAAAAACCGACCGTGCACAGTAAGAGTCGGGTGTGTTTCTTGACCTCCGCCGAACCCCTGAACTATTATATTTTTCTATTATATTTATAACGAAAATATATAAAACAATTGACAGCACCCTCCCGGAAATTTCAGTGACCCCTGACGAAAAATGTCTGACAGAATCCCTGTTCACAACACACAGTCTAATCACTTGTTTACGGTTATACCAAAAATAAAAATAAAACACTAGAAGATATATCACGTGATCCTGCACGGTTACTGTACTGTGAAGTACATCTGGAGTAACCCGACACTTTGACAACACAGAGACGTATGAACACATAACCATACCGATATATATATATATATATATATATATATATATATATATATATATATATATATATATATATATATATATATATATATATATATATATATATATATATATATACACATATACATATATACATACATATACATACATACATACATACATACATATATATATATATATATATATATATATATATATATATATATATATATATATATATATATATATATATATATATATATATATATATATATATATCTTTAATACTCACCTCATTAACAAATCGTCGTCCTCCCCTCCCCACCCGAAGTACAAGTTGGAATTCCCGTTGACATCCAGGTACTGTTCTTTAGTAAAGCCCACAACACCTCCAAAGTAGCCGTTATACATCTTTCTAAACAGCGTGAAACAAACATACAAATTGTAAGTAGGGGGGGGCGCTATATGTACATACAAAATAACTCCTTGTTATTTGTCTTTGTACCAACTTCGGTTGATGATGGTAACCAAGGTTGGTAATTCTGTCACCCTAGCTTTGTTAGACTGTAGAGTTAACAGTGTATGTATGTGTGTCTTAAAAAACAAAGACTAGAGCAAAGCCTTAAAAAGGGGGCGGCTAGCAGGCCCCAGTACTATGAATATCCTATTGACAATTTAAACATTGCTTTTGACGGTACAGCCAGTCGATGTTCGCTGTCACACCCTGATCTACACACATGCACACAGATATATCCTGTTCAACACACATCGCCACACCCTGATCAACACACACACACAAACACATCAACACACACCCACACCCTGATTCACACACATACGCACAACCACATCCTGATCAACACATACACACACACCCACACCCTGATCAATACACATACACATACTCATCAACACACTCACACCGCCACACCCTGATCAACACACACACACAAACACATCAACACACACCCACACCCTGATTCACACACATACGCACAACCACATCCTGATCAACACATACACACACACCCACACCCTGATCAATACACATACACATACTCATCAACACACTCACACCGCCACACCCTGATCAACACACACACCCTGGTCAACACACACACAGCCACATCCTGAACACAAACACACACACAGAGAGAGCCTCACTCTAATCCACTCACACATATAAACACAGCCCACCCTGACAACACAAACACACACAACACACACCTTGACCAAACACACACAGGCACATCCTGATACACACACACACAACACACACCTTGATCAAACACACACAGGCACATCCTGATACACACACACACACAACACACACCTTGATCAAACACACACAGGCACATCCTGATACACACACACACACAACACACACCTTGACCAAACACACACAGGCACATCCTGATACACACACACACACACCTTGACCAAACACACACAGGCACATCCTGATACACACACACACACACACCATGACCAAACACACACAGGCACATCCTGATACACACACACGCACACACCTTGACCAAACACACACAGGCACATCCTGATACACACACACACACACCTTGACCAAACACACACAGGCACATCCTGATACACACACACACGGCCCACCTTGATCAACACAAACACACAACAACACACACCTTGAGCAAACACACACAGCCCACCCGAACCAGCCAACACACACATACACACACATAAAGGCTTTTAAAGAAACTTTAGTTCGACTAAATAGAATGTAAGAAATTATGACAACTGATCCGAATCGTGATCGATCAATCAATCGATTTATCTTTAAACTTACAAACTTTTAGACATAAAAAATCTGAATACCTCCCGACTGACTAACGTTAAACAGCACACACACAAAAAGCAAGTCTTTTATGACTTGTGTGTCTTGAAGTACACACTTCTGTACACATATTATGTCATACAATGTGGTAACATGATCACATGACCTCATTTTTTTCCCATTCAGCGATGAAGAAACTCATTGAGGCGTGTCTCAATGGCAGTGGTTTAGCATATAGTATATGCGTTACATTTTTTTAAAAGTTTGGCTTTAAGAACAAGACAAGCTTTGTTAAACTTTTAATAGACAAATTATCCGGGTTAAGAGCATTTAATTTAAACAGTTTTTTACCAATATTTTTTTAATTCAGCGAACATATTGCTTCTAGTGATATTGGCGAATTATGCAAATTGAATCTTTCATTTATAAGCGATTGGGCCTACGAGTTCTAAGTTACAATAGGTTTTAACGTATATATATTTTTGTATGCGTATATTTTTACACATAAGGAGTGTCTATAATAACTTCGCACACGAAATATCTAGTGGGATGAGGGTGTCAGTATCAGTATTTTATAACAGGGTTAAGAAATGTAAGTTTGTATATATATATATATATATATATATATATATATATATATATATATATATATATATATATATATATATATTGCGAACCCTCTGTATGTTGAGAGTTAAAAAGAAGCTATTATCTTTGTTAGACTAATAGTGATGGGGGGGGGGGGGGGTAGAGTGGGGAGAAGTACTGGAACAATCACGAAATTTCAGGAAGGAGGTCTGACTTTTTTGATAAAGTGTGTTTGAGGTAAGAGGGATCGATTAAATTGTGTCAAGTCATTTACGGACGCCCCCCCCCCCCCCCCCCCACCGCCATCTTCTCCCCATATTCATTGAGACCTCCCCAGAACTCTATGCAGATATTAACACGTCCGTCACTTAATACGCACTGCACTATTGACACGGTATGAAGGGACTGATCGCTGCTTTCTAGATATTATTATGTTCCTGAGTTTTTGTGCTGACCACACCACAACTAATCCTTACACCCACGCCCACTCACACACAGCCAAACAGCCACGCAAACTGAATTACACGGCCACTTACGAACACATACAGACACTCACACGCACTTACAGACACACAAACAGAATCACACACACACATTCTTACACACACATATACCTCCCACACACCTACACTCACACAAACTACTCCTCACACACATACTCACTTGGCACTGCGTCGGCCGTACTTCTTGATAGCAACAGCGAAGTGTAAGGGGTTGTCGGCACAGCGGTACAGGTTCTGGTCGTTCATGGGCACAAGGTCCACGTCATGGAATATGTAGCAGTCGAAGGTGCCGAGTTTCTGGGACTCCAGGAACCCCACGTTCTGTAGGAGGGCTCGGTTGAACGGGTGGATGGGGTCCTGGGTTCATATGATATTTTTATTTTAAAAGTTTCCTGAATTGTTATATAGAGATATATACATAATAAGCATATACATAGTCCCCTCCCCCTCCAACCCAAAAAAAGATCGATCTTTATTCCAGTGTACTATACCAATTGTTTATTCTTCACTTTCGCTCTTAATTGTTATGTTTGAAATTATTTTATCCAAAACAATTAAGTTTTACGTTTTAACTTGTCATGCGTCATTTAGGCCGTAGACTCAACCAGCTTTACTTTATAGATTTGCTTCCATTCGATAGCCTTTGTCCATACAAGAACAAACTACAAAGCAGCAGTTGTTTGATTTCGGAGTTTTCTCTCATAGATGGGTTGTTGTTCACAGCTAATGAGATATGGATCCTCATCAACCACACCGACCTAAGCCTATGTTTAAAAACAGAACTATTTAAAAAGCAAAACTGAGTCGTTAATGTGTGTATGAAGCCTCTCCAACGTCCCCCCCCATCACATTTCGTCACCCAAAATTCGACACCCCTCCGCCTTAAGAGTGTGACGTCGTAAATAGACCCTCCCCCCTTCCCCCTCACTTTCTTTTTACCTGTTCGATCACAAAGAACGTCGCATCCGCTTGTTGTTTCTTCAAAAGGGGGATAAGCACGCTCAACAAGGTGTGCAAATGTGAGTAACGGTCCCTGAAATACATTGTAAATTTTATTACCCTTTAAGAACCAATATGAACATTTTTAGTCTTGAGTTTTTAATCGTCTTGAAATATCTCCCCACCCTTCTCTCCCCCTTTCTTTACACCCGTCCTTTGTAATAACTAAACTGAGAGATAGTAGTGGGAATTTGAAAAGTACTATTTGAATCAACACGATTAGTATTGAGATTCACAGCCTAACCCTTTAACACACCAATACCTGTACACCCTCACCTCCCAACCTCGGAATTTTCAAATTCTCTACTCGGAAGGCACAAATGCCCCTCCCCCTTTCACCCGAGAAAACATTTCTGAAAGATACCTGAAATATACCCTGGATTCAAACCCACCCTGCTTATATGACTTAACATCTTTAGCCGCCTGCTACCTGTAGGCAATGACAACGGCCAGTCTCTCCCTGGCCGTACAATTGGACGGCTGCAGACGACCGGATTTGACTTCCGGGTATAGGGCTTGAAGCACTTCCGGTGTCGTTGGTTCACAGGCACACGTATAGTTTCCGACTGGAATAGAAGTACATGGCTCGACAGTGAAAAAATGTATTAGTAAGTGAGGTCAGGTGCGCTGGGTACCCAAAGGCTGTCTGTCTCAATGGGGATTCGTCCCCAGAAGCATTCAGTGCCCAGGGAGATCAGTGCCCAGGGAGATTCAGTGCCCAGGGACATTCAGCATCCAGGGACATTCAGCATCCAGGGACATTCAGTGCCCAGGGACATTCGGTGCCCAGGGACATTCAGCATCCAGGGACATTCAGCATCCAGGGACATTCAGTGCCCAGGGACATACAGTGCCTAGTGGCATTCAGTACCAATGCATTTAATTCCTCATAGGCAAAGTTTTTAACTATAATTATACATATAGAATGTTTAAAAAACTATAATAATATTAAGACCTATCAGTGGCGTAGCGAGGTCGGGTGTTACCCGGTGCGGCACTTAATGGTGTCACCTCCCAGAGGCGTAGCAACCCTTCCTGGGGTGACAAACATTAAATTTTTTTATTTGCACCCCCCCCCCCCCACCTCAAGTTTTCGATTTGCACCCCCCTCAAGTTTTTCTCAATATGTTTTGCTATTTTTTGCCTTGGTGTCACCCCCCTAAATGGTGTCACCCTATGCGGTCCGCGGTGCGGTCCCCCCCCCCTCGCCACGCCTCTGAGACCTATACATAACTGTAGCCCTACTTAGTTTCCTATTCAAACTAAGACGGGCAACCTTTGGTCACCGAGCGCCCCTGACCTTACTTGGTGATACATTTTATTTTCTTACTTTCAATAAATTGTTGGGCAAAAGACACATTCATTGTAGAAATTGTTGCATTTTAAAACTTGGCTGTTTACTAGTTAAAAGTGATTGTAAAAAAAAGTATTCAAGACGATAAGGGAATTATTATTTACCACCTAGGTAATCTATATATATAATTCTCTTCTGGGAGACGCTAGAAAACAAGCTGTAAACGCGCTCCCTACCACCCCCACCCCTACATGTTCTGGTGAGCTGTGTTCACTCTAAATGACTATTAGGGGCAGATAATTTAGTTTGAAACGATTTTAAACGTAGGGGGGGGGGGTAACTAAGTGGAGTTTGCTTTAAACGGAGGGGGGGGGGAGGAGGAGGGGGGTATCGTCCTTAAAGAGCTACTTATAGTGTTTTAAAGAAATATTTTCAGTGGCAGCGTTGGTAGTGTCGAATTCACAAATTATGAATAACTGAAAAGTAGAAAAAACAACAACTAAATAGCGGGGTATGATACGCCGCGGGTGGGCTCGTTGAATATATTTTAAAGCCTATGTAAACTGGTTGCTACTGAAGAGTGTGCCGGTTTAAAAATTTGAGAAAAAAAAATTGTCAGAAGTGGGATTTGAACCCACGCCCACAAGAGTGGACTGCGACCTGAACGCAGCGCCTTAGACCACTCGGCCATCCTGACTTACACTCCATGTCCTAAGAGCCTTAAATATACCTAAATAAGTTAATTATTAAACAAGCACATGCAGGGGTGAATTCGGCCGCCATTTAAAAAAAAAATTGTTCTACAATAATGATACTGTACAGCCCTATTATTACTTTGAAACTGAATAACGATATATTTATAGACCTTGTAGAACAGCCTAAAGCTTAAAGCATCAAAACAAAATCTGTTATTGAACAGTGACTAGTAAAATGCACCTTTAACTTTCCAAATGGTGAGAGCGCTTTTAGGCAACATGAATAACTATAACTTATAAAATGGAGGGGGTGGGGGCGCAGATTTGATAGTTCACATCGGGCGCCGAAATGGGTCGCTACTCCTCTGCGTCATGTTTCGATGGAAAAAATAAAAGGCACACACACACACACACACACACACACACACCACACACACACACACACACCACACACACACACACACATACAACACACACACACACACACACACACATATATATATATATATATATATATATATATATCTATATATATATATATATATATATATATATATATATATATGAGGTCAGGGCAGTGGCGTAGCGAGGGGGGGAGGGCGGCGGGGGGGGGGGGGAGGGTCCGTACCGCACCGGGATTAATTCGAGTGTTAAGTCTTTTAAGGGCAAATTTGACAAATCCCGACAAGGGTGGAGGGGGAGGGGGAGGGGGGGCAAATCGAAAGTTTGAGGGGGGGGGTGTGCAAAATCGAAATTTGAAATTTTGTCCCGGGCGCTACGTTTCTGGGGGGGGGGGGTGATACCATTAAGTGCCGCACCGGGTGACACCCGACCTCGCTATGCCTTTGAGTCAGGGGTTGGGGCAGCTTATTGTTTTCCTATGCCGTTTGGAAAGTCCGCTCCTGGTCACGTATAAACTCTAAATCTCACAACACTCACCTAATCCCGGAGGCTTAACTGGACATAATCCACTCTCGTTTCTCCCTCCGGCAAATCTCGCCAAGATCTCATCCCTCCTGTCTTTATCCGAGTCGAGCTCCACGTCATCGGTCTTCACTTCCGCTTTGTCGCCGCCCTCCGCGGGCCCATCATCGTCCAAACTCTTCAGGTACGATCGCCAAACGGCGTCATCGTGTCGGAGCTGTTCGGCAAACTCCGCCTTGGTCGGAAGTTTGATTCGTTGTTCGGCTTGCCATTTGAGCTCTAGAGTAGGGCATGAAATTTTGACTGGAAAAATAAATGGGACTTTAAAATTTGCTAGGAGGGCGTATTGAAGCTAAATGTTTTATTACTTGCCAGGAGGGCGTATTGATGCTAAATGTTTAATAACTTGCCAGGAGGACGTATTTAAGCTACACTTTTTTAATTGCCAGGAGGGCGTATTGAAACTAAATGTTTTATAACTTGCCAGGAGGGCGTGTTGAAGCTAGATGTTTTATAACTTGCCAGGAGGGCGTATTGATGCTAAATGTTTAATAACTTGCCAGGAGGACGTATTTAAGCTACACTTTTTTAATTGCCAGGAGGGCGTATTGAAACTAAATGTTTTATAACTTGCCAGGAGGGCGTGTTGAAGCTAGATGTTTTATAACTTGCCAGGAGGGCGTATTGAAGCTAAATTTGTGGTTACATTTGTACCACAAACTATAACTAATCTTAACTGTAGTTCTAACTTAAATGAAGCTACCTATTGTCTTATATTTATAACACTCACCCTAAACCTTTGCCTCTCCCTCAACCCTAGCAGTGTTTCTTTCATGTATCTTTTAATGGGGGGGGGGGGGTACCGCCCAAAGCATTTTTACCACCCTTCCCCGAACGAAATATAATGTATATAGACATATACTTTTACCTGTATCCGCCCACCCCCCTGAAGGTTTCAAGTGTACCCGGAGAAACACTGAACCCTATCCCTGACTTATGATTCTGATAAAGCTACCCCCCCCCCCCCATATTCCCTATTTCTTGAATTTATTATCTGTGATGTAAATGTACATCTATGAACTGGGAGTGCCATAACTGACCTGGATTACTAACTGACCTTATACAGGAAGTACCATTACTGACTCTACCGGAAATGCCATTACTGACCTATACCGGAAATGCTATTACCGACCTTGTACCGGAAATGCCATTACTGACTTTATACCGGAAATGCCATTACTGACTTTATACCGGAAATGCCATTAACGACTTATACAGGTAATACCATTACCGACTACCGGGAATGCCATTACTGATTTTGTACCGGAAATGCCATTACTGACTTTATACCGGAAATGCAAATTACTGACTTTATACCGGAAATGCCATTACGAATTATACAGGAAATACCATTACCGACTACCGGAAATGCCATTATCGACTACCGGAAAATGCCATTACCGACTACCGGAAATGCCATTACTGACCTGGCACGACCCTCTCCATACGTGACGTGGGCAGATAAAACCAGACAAGCACCAGCACATTGATGACGAATACAATCATACAGCACTGGTCAAACTTCTGCTTCAGCACCTCGCGCTCTCGGCTGCTCATCGCGCGCCATTTTTCCCTCGCGTGTGACGTCACCAGACTTCCGGTCCAACTACTATGCAGGAAAAGAGTTCATTGTATATTTATTATAACAGTAAATTTACCTTTTCGGGCATGTAGTTCAATATAGCAGATGTAGTAGAGTTTACCTGTTTCTATGACCTAGGCATATACGTAAAAAATGGGGTCAGTTTTATGCACAACCGTCTTAATTAAAATAAATTATTATTTAAATTAATAATACACATGTAATCAAGGGTAATTTTCAGGTTGATTATTAAGCAAATTCAAGGAAAAAGAAAGCAGGAAAGGCCAAGGGAGACGTGGAGGCGATAGCGGGGAAGCATCTGGCAGAGGCAGGACTGTCATGGGGGACTGCCAGGAAAAATTTCCGGAGACCGACAAAAGTGGAGGGGGGTTTCTGTGGCGGGCCTCAAGTGTCTTAGGCACAAAAAGGAAATGATGATGATGATTATGCAGGAATCTTTTAAATAACTACCAGTAGACCTATACTTTAGAATTACAGTAAGCAAAAGTTCCCTTTCAAACCTGAGGGACCGTGGGGGCAAGTGAAGTAGAGTTCACATGTATAACATCGAGTTTACATGATTGAATAAACTCTCTACAAGAGAACGTACAAAACGTTACTGCCATCGACCAAGCTCATAACAGATGACCCACCTTATCAGTGCAGTCTAAACGGTGACTCCCTCCCCCCCCCCCCCACAAACACACACACTTCCCCACGATTATCAGTCTAGGACCGTAAATTCTGAGAGGGTCTATAAACTTCTATTGGGCCCTCAAGAACAGCAAACCACAATCAGCATTTAACATGCCCCTTTAGAGTGGCACTTAAGAGAATGTCAGTGTAACCTTATCCCACCCACCCTACTCCTACACAACCGTTCATCTAGTCTTTATTCATTATTTTACACGAGCCGGCCCGCGGCATAACATACGCCGCTATTTAGTTGTTTTTAATTTTCCAATAATTCATAATTTGTGAATTCGACAGTACCAACGCTGACACTGAAAATATTTCTTTAAAACACTATAAGTAGCTCGTTAAGGACCATAACCCCCCCCCCTTCCTTCCCTCCCCCCCTCCTCCCCCCCCCCCCCCCCCCCCCCTACGTTTAAAATCGTTGGCTCTGCTTGTAAACATTTAGAGTGAACACAGCTCACTAAAAACCATGTAGGGATGGGGAGGTAGGGAGAGCGT